CATGGTGATTATCAGTGAAACTGACCTTCCACCACAATATATTTAAAAGAGACGTGCTTTCAAGGTTGTTATGTGAGGGATTTGTGCTTTGTTTTATTAATTAATTAATTAATTAATTAATTAATTAATTTATTTATTTATTTATTTGTTTATTAGTTGTATTTTTTGGCAGCACGGCGGCTCAGTGGTTAGCACTGACGCAACACAGCAAGAAGGTCCTGGGTTCGATCCCCCGGTTCGGACCTGGGGTCTTTCTGTGTGGAGTTTGCATGTTCTCCTCGTGCTTGTGTGGGTTTTCTCCGGGTACTCTGGTTTCCTCCACCCCCCCAAAACATGTACAACAGGTTGCCTTCAGGCCCAGGCCTCCCTTGAAAAAGAGATCTGAGTTCTCAATGGGACTCGCCTGGTAAATAAAATAAAATAAATTAATTAATATTCTGACAATTTACTGACAGGTACTGTATATTCTGCACAGTTAGCAGTATTGTTTTTATTTAGTATTTGCACTACATTGTATTTTTTATTTACTCATTCACCMAATAGTGGTCTACTGGAGACGTCTAAAGATGTTTTAGCATGATTCATGAGCCACAGCCGGCCTATTTCTATTAGTCCTTCTTCAAATGTTTAACATTTACCTGATCAATAAAATGCCAGTATGAGTTACTTTGACTGCTAACACATAAACACTCCTAAAGAGGATAAACTTGGTTTCCATATTCAAGCAAAAAATCATTTTCTTGATTCTTTTTATCCTCTTCTATCCTCCAATTATTTCTATCAGCTGATGTCAGCTTTATAAAGATGAGCAATCAGATTTTGTCRTGCACCTTTTCATAATTTGAATGCTCAACAAGTAACATATTTCCCTCCCTGTTCCTCTGTCTAATGCTGGCTCCACTCCATCTCCTGAAGATGAGACAAAGAAAGTGAGGCAAAGAAAGAGAAGCAGCTGTAAACAAACACCCACACGCTGTCGTATAGATTTACAGCTTTAATGCASTCTGCTGCAGGGGAGAGTTTATCACCCTGTGCACACAAACCAGATTCAGCGCTGATTAATACAGACTGCGTCCCTCCCTCCGCCCACACCRTCCTCCCTGGTTGAGATCATGCACTCGCTCTGCTGCTACACCCCCACATCTTCGAACCGAGGCAGAGCACSAGCCCCCCCAAAACAACGCACTCATCCTCTCCAGCTCCAACACGACGGTCCTCGTTTCACATTTAAGYCAAACACCATTAAAGCCTTTAAACAGTTTGATTGAACCGTCTAATGGAAGCATTTAAATTGCCCTCGACATGCACAGCTTGATGCCATTAGGCCTTTTTCCAGACAAAACCTGTCTGTATTCATCTCATTATACACATCACATAATGAACAGTTGCTAAAATGAGATTGCTGGCTTTGGAAAGACAAGGCAGCTCCTGATTAATGCTCAGTGACACAACACTGAGTCAGGACAAAACATTTAATCACTAAATGTTATTTTTTTTAAATAGTAGGGTAAAATTCAGTATTCGTGAGAGGTTGCTACTTGTTTTCTATTGAAACGTRATAATAAGGCTGAAATATTCCATTTCTATAGGTAATTATCCTTTTGTTCTGACTCTTTGTTCCATCAGTGGACTGAGATTTTGACTCTAAACCATCCGACTGACTGATGTGTGGACAGGCTGAAATTAGCTGAGCACTTTGTCCAGCTCCAGAGAAACGAACAAACGAAACGCACGGGTTGTTTCCCCAAAAACGATCATTGAAGTGTTTTAGTCAAACTAAAAACAAAACGCTACAGAATCCTGTTATTTATTTCTCAGTTTGGAGAGTAACATGTAGGAGGAGAAACAAATTTCAAGAGAAGTGATGAAAATRAAAAGAACAAGGAGGGGAGGGGGACTTTAAAGCATCTGAAAACTTTGTTGAATATTTTTAGCTTTTCATGAARTACTTGAAGCTGAATAAATTATACCACACCAGAACGAGGGCCACACTCATAATTATTTAAATAAGATGCTTATTTTACATTCAGCTGATGAAAYACACTTCCTGTTTTATAATACCTCATTCTAAAACCATGAAGCAATCAGCCTGATACGAGTTTGGGACTGGTTCGGGCTGATTCCACGCTCACCATCAAACTGGAATAAATGTTTTGAAGTGACAAAAAGACAGCTGAAGCTCTGCTGAACAGGATCTGAACTCTGTTTGTCTCTCAGACGTTCACAGCTTGGTGCAACTCCCACTTGAGGAAAGCCGGGACACAGATCGAGAACATTGAAGAGGATTTCAGAAATGGCCTCAAACTCATGCTGCTGCTGGAGGTCATATCAGGTGGATCCCGTCTCACACACACACACACACACACACACACACACACACACACACACACACACACAC